CCCACGGGGAACAGCAGGACAGCCTGAGGTCTAGGAGTGTCTCCTGCATGGAGGAGGTCTGCTTACAGAAGTGTAATATTCCTTCCAGAAACTGACCTATGCATGGCCTAAGAAGGGAGGCCACTAGGCAGTGACGAGGCCAGGTGTGCCCATGAGACCTGCTCCTGACCCTGTGCAGCCCAGCCATGGACTACAGACAAGGGCCATTTCAGGGTGTCTCGGCTATTCTGAGAACGTGGTATCTTAAGAGTCTGTTACCTTTGTTATTTTTGTTTTTTAATCAAGAAAAAAGCAAAGCAATGGAAATATAGGACTAAGTCACCTGCCAGGCAGGTAAACAGGTGATCAGCGGGTAGAGACCACCACAGCCTCTGTATTCGGCCAGAACTGGGAACATGGGCCGTAGGCAGAAGCAAGCACATCCAACACACACTCTCTGAATCACAGGACCAGTGGACATGACGGTGCTCCTGGTCACAGGGAAGCAGGGAGCCGGACTGAGGGCTGAGCATGCGGTCTGCGCTCTTCCCCAAAGCGAGCCGTGACAGGTGCAAGCAGAAAGACAAAGCCTGGAGAACAGAGTGTGGTCAGGGTTAGGGGCAGCACGGGCAATATTGGTGGAGGTAAACGCAGGGCAAACAGGCAAGGATGAGCACGGACAGCACACGACGGATGGTAACAGCATGGTGGGTGAGGATGGATGGCAGTGCAGGAGGTCTGGCATAGGGCACTCTAGGAAGGTGCACACTACAAACTGAGGTGCAGGCTAGCACCAGAGGCTCCTCCAGCAGCTCTGGGCCCAAGAGGCATCAGCTGCAACCCTGGAGACCAGCCCCAAGGCACCAACTCTTCTCCCTAATGCCCCCATACCTCACAGTAAACCAACGCACCCCTCAGAGCTTGGTGATGCTTTGTTCCCTGAGAAGGCCTTCCACCTCTAGCCAGGCCAGGTTGCTCTGGGACAGGCAAGCTCACCTCTCCAGGGTTAACTCTGGTTGCACCCAACCCTGATGTAGCTGACTACATAACTGACTTTCACCTGCCTCCTCTAAGTTTGCAGCAGGAACTATGACTGCCCTGTGCACCCAGAAGTCCTTTCACTTCTGACGTCCTTCCTGGTTGTGGCATTCTGAGGTGGCATGAAGTACAACAGGCAGATAGTGAGTCTTAGGCCAAGAGAGCTCCTACAAATATCCCAAACATTGGCTAAGTCAGACCAAATGAAGGCCCAAGACATTCTGAACAGCCCTGCTCCCTGGGTCCTCCACTGAGGCAACAGGGTGAGAAATGCACGTCGATATAATCTGTCAGGTGAGTCAGTGTGGGGCTTTTCCTAGCCATTACATCATGCATGGAGAGGACTGAGTGGAACGAGACAGACCTCACTCTTTCTCAGACTGTCTTGACCATGCAAAGCCCTGGATGAGTACTTACCAGCTCTCAGCCAGGTTTCTGTTCCAGGAAACAAGGATAGAGCCAAGCTTACAAGGCAGCTGAGAAGATGGAAATGTGCAGCTACCCTGTAGGTCCCCGCCTTAAGCCTGACATGGAACAGGCACAGTGTTGTGTGGAAGGGCCTAATTACACACATATCTACGTGCACACATATCACATGCACATACCCTCACACACCAACACTGCCTGTGGAAGAGGGGCACAGATTTTGTGCAAACATATCCTTACACTATAGGGGGGTAACTCACAGTCATTGGAGCCCCTTAAAAGTTACAATGTGCTCTAAGAGATGGACAGAGGCAGAAGTTAATCGAGTGCAAAGGGCAGCTGGCTCTTCTGTCTGCCTGTCTCTCAGCTTTGCCAGCGAGTCCCTTCTCTGGTCAGCTGAAGCTACCTTCCTGGCTTCCCTGAGAAGGGCCAGCTCTGATGGCCAGCTGTGGTGGTCACATAACAGCCTGAAGGACTAATTCCAAAGGCTCTCATCAAGTTGTGAGTGGCTGCAGGTAGTACAAGACTGCAAACCAGACAAGCTTAGAGTGGGCCTGAGTCCTACAAGGGAGCTATTATCAAATATCAAGGTACATATCAGAATTGATTCTAGCTGGTTTTTACTTTTGAAGCAAAGAAACATAGAATGGTACTAGGTGGGGGAAATGGCTCTAATACTGGGCCCCCTAGCCACGTTCAGGTTAAGTCCTGATGATTGGCTCCTTCTCCCATTGGCAGCAAAGCCTTAAAAAAAGCTCAGTGAGGATGGACACTTGGACCCAGAAGGCCCAGTGCCAGGCCCATGCAGAGTTGCTGCTTCCACTGGCACTGGCTGCCCATCTTTCGAGTCATACCACTGGCTGGAGAGCTGACTGCAAGCTCAGGGGGATGAGCGCCAGAGCCAGGGCTCCTCCTTCTCAGAGTGCTATTCATTTCCCACTCCAGCCTCACTGATGGCCTACACTTTAGGAGGCCATAATCTGCAAGCAGTTTTAATACTCATGAGGCAAACATTAACCCATTCTACAGGTAAGAAAGCAGGTCAGATAGGCAAAGGCCTTAGGTTGCAATGAACTCAGGACTGAAACCCAGATGTTTCTGACTCCGGGGTGTCTTATACCTTTGCCTCTTCACCTGACCTAGAAGCACCCATCACCCATCTTGCATCAAGAGGGATTGCCTGTAACCTGCAGTGGCTGTAATGCCCCTCTCCTATAGGAGAGCTGACACTGGTCTCAGGTTGAGACACTGAGGGGAATGCACAAGCCACATGTTCTCCTCCTAGGGCTGGGTCAGGAAATAGGAGCAGCAGTGGGCAGCATAGCCTCTTGAAGCTGCCAGCAAATCCCCTGATACTGCAGTTGGCTGTGTCTGCCCGGAGCCTGGGCCTGTCCCTGGGAACCAGTACCACTTCTGGAAGGACCACTGCAGCATCTGAAGTTGATGGCTCTTTTAGGGTTTCAAACATTTTCTGTGGCAGACACTGTTTTGTCTCTGAAGAGGCCAAGGGTTCTGAAGGTATTGTGCTCCTTACTATAGCATGGCTGGGACTGGGTGAAGACAGGCCTGGGGATGCCACGAGCTCCTTACTACTCACAGGAATCACCCCCAAAACAACAGAAGTCAATTTGAACTTATGCACAAGTCAATTTTCCTCTGCAACCTCTAGAACAAAGTTATGCTGGCACCTTGGCCTTGCCACACACATACACTGCACCATCTCTGCAGTGACTCCCTCCAGGTGCGTGCACACAATGTGCCCACATGGGCAGCTAGGCAGCCAGAGCCAGGTGGCAGCACAGTCCCCCTTCTCCAGCACTCCAGTTTCCTTCCTTCCATGCTCCTGGAGGTGCAGCCTGCCCTAAGGGATGACTGAAAAATCCCTGATCCCGCAGCCTGAGTCAGGCAGGAGGCTGCAGGATCAGCATTAGTGTTCCCCAGCCTACAACTGCACGAGCAGGGTCACGGGCCATGTGGACAGCCATGAAAGGTAGTCCTCTTGCGAAAATTCTGGCATGGCACTAAATCATCACAGGAAGTACCTGGCAGAAACTAACTCCCAGAGGAAAGTGTTACTGCTAATGTGCTTTCATAATTTTCTCAAGAGTAAAAGGCTGGAACCAGGCAGTTTCCCTGATTTACTTGAGTTAACTAAGAAGGGGGAGAGGATTTTACTTAGGGCATTGCTGCAGAACTGAAGACTGGAAGAGTGGGCACCCAGCCCCTCCGGATTCTGCTCACCATTCTAGGGCAGGTAGGACAGCGAGGGCAGTGCCAGTGCCCACATGGGGTAAAGACACAACGCTGGCAGGCGGTGATGGTGACATGGAGCAACACATAGATCCTCAGCCTTTCTCTCAAACACACATGCTGCAGACCCAAATCAGACCTAGGAGGGAATACTGCAAGTCTCCGAATCTCTTAGAAGAGCACCAAATCCTATTCCCAAAAGAGCTGAGCCCGGGCCACCTTGTCATCCTTTACCAGTGCTTCTCTAACCTTGCTCTCTTGGCTCAGCATGCTGGAGACAGATACCTGCGCTCCAGAGGAACCCGCACACTGGGTGAGTCTCTAGCAAAGACACCAGAGCCAAGGCAGTGTGGCCCCCAGCACTCTTCCATTGAGACCTGTGCAAGATCTCAACTTCAAGGCTACCATGGTTCCTGAAAGGCCTAGCCTTCCTCTCAGAAGCCACTCCACCAAGGCCACTTGGCAGCAGACAAAGCCCTGTGGCCAATCCTACCCTCCTAGGCCTATCTCATTGCCCTAGAGAAGGTAAAGAAAGCAAAGCCTGTTTCCTCCACAGTCCAGAGAAGATGAACAATGTGTCTTTCAGCATTGTTACTACTTGCCCAAGGTTCCATTTCCATGGCCCTCTACATCCACCAACTTAGCTTATTCCAGCAAATATTTTGTCACCAGCTTCTCACTGTAAAGGTGAGGCGAACATGAAGAAATCAAGCTATAGGCCAGCATGCAAGCCTCCTAATGTTAGTAAGGAATGTAGTTGAACAGTCGCCACCTGCCCCATTCCACATGGGATGGCCTTGCACATGGTTTCAGATGGCCCCCATCAGCATTTGGTCTGGATGCCCCCAGGTGACAGATTTAGCGCCCATTATGGCCTTCCCACTACTGTCAGGACAGAGCCATAGCAATGTGCAGCTGAGTGGTGCAGGCCTCACCAAGCTGACTGCCAAGAGTCGCTGTGAGTGGCCTATGGTTCTTCCAAATGCCCTTAAAGGAGAAGTCACATATCTTCCTACCTTGAAGGTAGGAAAATGCAGTCCTGAAGAAATGAAGTGCCTTAGCCCAAACTGGCCCTCCCCCACCTCCCAGGTGGGCAAGCTGGCAGGTGGCGACCCTGAGCATGTCTTGGAAGCACAAGAATCACCGTGAGTCTATGAGGTTAATGAACAGCCGCAACATTGCCCGTGTCACCCCAGACCCAGCACCCCCCCTCAATGAAACAAAGCGACAAAACACAGTCGCTCGAGCACCCTCCCCATGATTGGTGTGCCGCCCTGGGCTGGCAGTAGGGAGAACAGGGACTATACCGTCCGGCGTCGCCTGCTGGTGGGGTTTTTTACATTTGACGTAATCGTGGTCAATCGGAGTGGCTGTGTAAGGTGGGGATGTCAGACCTGGGCCAGAGGAGGAGGGGAGGGAGGCTCCGGGGCCCGGCAGTGTCCCAGCTGAAGAGTGGGAGTCCTCATCCACCAGGCAGGCCTTCTCCCTGTGGGGACAGAAGGTTGGGCTTGGGTCAGTCTCCACGTTGTGGTGAAATGGACATGTGCCCTGAGGGCCAGCACCTTCCCAAGCTGTGCTGCTCCGAAGTATTTTTGGTGGTCTCCACACCAGCCACCTGGTGCTCCTCAGAGAGGCAACCACCACAGGACATACAGTCTGTAGCTGGACACTGACCCTCTTTTCTGGTCAGGTTCTGCCAGCAACTCTGGGTCTCAGGTTCAGGAGGCTTGCAGGAGCACTGAGAAGCCTCCCTGCAAAAGCACTCTAGCACCACTCCCTACCCAGTCAGGGTCCTGCGTGGCGGCCTCGCAAATCCTCCTCTGACAGATACACGGACCAAAACACATCTGCTTTACTGCATGCTCACACAAATACAAAGGTATAGCATCTGCTACAATGTGTGAGGAAAAGAAAGCAGGCACCTTCCTTGTCCATGGGCCTGTTTATATAAAATGGGTGTTTCTGTATTATGCAACTAAGTATGGGCTGGAAAGAATGCAGTCAATAGGATGCCATCTCCATGGCCCGTGGCCTAGACCTACTGCTGAGGGAAAAAGCGAATTCTAAAACAGTACCTTTAGCAGTTCATTTTTATCTATTAAAAAAAAAAACCCTACAATTGTACATGTGCACATAAGTGTGTGACATAAAGAAATTGACTTAAGAAATTAAACTGTGTGTAGTAAAAAACTTTGGGAAAGAGATCTGTCATATTTTAGTCTGTATATTTATGTGGGCTTGAGTTTCTTATAACTATGATATGTTCATATGTTATATAATCTGAAAAAATTAAAAACTGAATTATGATCAGTGAAAAACTCTGTAATGACAGCATACCCGGCCAAGTTAGAAAGACCTTGTTACAAAATAAAAATCAAAGGGGACTGGGGCACAAGACAGATACTTCATTGTATACAGAAAGCCCTCAGTGAATAAAAATCATCTATAATGTCTAAGCAGACTGTACCAGAGTGACCCACCACGGGGCCAGGGACACTGCAGAGCTGAGCTCTAACTGTGGCCATGAATAGAGCACCCTCAGGGAGCAGGGTTTCTCTCTGGCTCTCAGCTGAGTCCTGCAGTGTCTGGCCAGGCAGAAGTACCAGAGACGCGGTAAGCTGAGCTAAGCACCAGGTCAGGGACGCCTGAAAGGACTCTGAGCCACAAGGAGACCACTCATACCAGGATAAACCTGGGTTAACCCGAGGCCACTAAAGGGCTCTGGATAGAGCTTCCTTGAGCTCTCTGGCACCACAGGATGAAGCTGTGCCCCCCGCTCCTAATTGTTTCTTAGGAAAAAAGTAGCACAGCAGGGCTTAGAGTTCACCCTTTCTTGGGTAAAGGCCCTGCAAAGGACTAGGCTAAGTAAGAGTTTGCAAAGCAAAAACTAGTCTTCTACAGTGTTCTACACAAAACAGAGATGTGCTCCACCAGAAGGAAAGGGATGGGGCCAGCTTTCCCCCAGGACTTAAGCCTGAGGGTAGAGTGGCACCAGGAAGAAGCCTTGAGTGAAGGGACCAGGACTGTACATGTACCCTCTCCTCAGATTCAATGGAACTACCTTGGCCCAGTAATGACACTTCCAGGCCAGTCCCAGAGGTCCCCTGAGTTCCAGTTTACCTGGCAGCCACCCTCTGAACACCACTGCAGTAGTAAATGAGCAACCCAGGCCAGGTGTTATCACTCACTTTTCTGAAGCTTTGGGTGTATTCTTCTCCTCGCCCCTGGCAAAGGGTCCTTCTGCAGCTTCCTTCATAAAGTTGACCAGGACCTCTGCGCTAACACCAGAATCAGGTTTCCCCAGGAGCTTCAGGATGGAGGCATGAAGCCGGAAGTACACCTAGAATGACATCTCTGGTGTGAGCAGCCTTCCAAGTGCTGAGGTTCATTCCACACGCTAGGTAGCCACACTGGAAACAGGCCCCTGTCTAGGACACAAGCCACCACTCTGTCTGGTTTTGTTAGCTTTTAAGCCAGTCAACCTATAATTCAAAATGAGCTCTGAAAATTAAAATGGATACTGGCAACATACCTGTTTAAAAGTTCACCCCGTGATGCAGGCACAGTGCGGTAAGATAATGAGAGAAACAAGCTTCAGCTATTATCACTGGACACTGCCTCCCACCATGGCATCAGTGCCATCTTTGTGCCCATCTCCTGAACCTCTGTATCTACTTCTACACTGGATAGTGGATGCCTTGAGACAAGGACCAGAGAGGACATCTGCTTGTAAGCCATTCCCTGGAACCTGTGCTCATGGATGCAGCACTGGTAAGCAGGCAGAACACTGCACTGGGGAGGCGCCTGTGCTTCCCACTACATGCCTCAGTTTACAGACAGGTGAAGTGAGCTGCACCAAGTGCCCCAGTCAAGAAAGTCAGTGGTCATGTTAAAGCCAGGTCTGTCCTATTGTCTTCCCTCTACTGTTTCCATGTGGTAGAGGCCCTTTCACGGGAGGTGGCTTGACCCAGTCTTTCTATCCAGATGTCAGTGACACGGCTCTCACCCGTAGCACACACGGAGGATATGATGGATACCACAGACAACGGGAATCGCTAGCACCTCAACTCCTGACTAGCAGGCCCCCTTCACCCCAGGAATGGTTCTCACCCAAGTGATAGGCCTGCCGCTGTAGGCCTGGGCAGCGTTCTACGGGCATCCAAACAGAGGGACTTACACTCAGAGCCCTCTGTGGACTCCAGAGTAAGTGGCATAGCAATTCCATTTTCAGAGCCAAGAAACCATCCTTGCACACCCAGGAGGCCAAAACTGAGAAGAGCAACATCTTCAACTGGAGTTCATCCAAATGGCAGATGAAGAATTTTACATGGAGGCCCCTTGTCACAGGAACAAGGGCATTTGATTTTTCACCAGGCCAAGGTTAAGAGTTTCTGAGGAACGTCATTTTAAAGAAACAGCATATGCATGTGTCAGCTGACTCAGAGTTGCAGGCCCATCTTGGCCGTGCGAAACAAAATGTGCCTGAAGTTGTGCGTACTACACTTCTTGAGCCAGTGTGCTAAAAAAGCGTAGGCCACACTCCCAAGCTTTGTTTTCTCATCTGAAATGCCTGAGGCCACCATAGCCCCCGCTCACTGGCTCTCCAGATAGTAGTAGGACAAAACGGGAAAAACAGGCGACATCTGAGGGCTGAGCTAACCATACTCAGGACCAGCGCTGACCAAGGACCTGTCCCAGGTCCACTCCTCTCCTTCTGGTACCTTAAAATGTCACATCTGTTCTAGATCCTTCAGTATTATACTTTGGAGGAAAAACAGAGTTCTTCCAAAGTACATGGTGCCAAGTGAATGGCATGAAAGAACTCAGACAAGGAATGAACAGTGTCAGGGCATCAGAGAGGAAACAGTACTTCCCTAACTCTCAGTGAACCCCCAGATCCTGGCCCCAAAATGGCCACTATAAATCAGCAGGCTGGAATGATTTTATTTTATTTATTTATTTTTGTCTCTTTGAGACAGGATCTCAGTATATAGATAGTTTAGGCTGGCCTTGAGCTCACTTTGTAGTCTGGGCTGGTCTCAAACTCACAATGATCCTCCTGCTTTAGCCTTCCGAGTGCTGAGATTACAGGCATGTGCCACCATGCCTGGCTGGAATAACTTTTTAAAACGCAAATTTAAAAATCAAGGCCATGTTTGTTTGTTTGTGTACAAGATTAACAAATATTAAAAGGTGGTTATTAGCATGGTTGGAGGAAAACAGACACAATTCTCCATCAGTACAACTTTTCAAGGCCAATGACTGGAATGTTAAATGACCCAGCACCTGCAGACCTTAGCCCTTGGAAACACTCATGAAGTACTCTCTAACACAAGTGCAGAGACATGCAGTGCTGGGACCAGCATGCCAAGCAGTGGAGAGGAAGCCAAACACCCATCAAGGGGCTGTCCAGATAAATAACATGCCCAACCCCACCAACGACCACTAGAATACACCTTCTACTACATCTTATCCAAGGAAAAGGGAAACTACAGAAGTATAAGAAAATGTTACATAGTATCTACTTTTTTAAATTTTGGAGACAAGGTCTTACTATGTAGTTCAAGCTGGCCTTAAACTCATTCTGTAGCCCAGGCAGGCCTCAAACTTGCAATGATCCTCCTGCCTCAGTCTCCTGAGTGCTGGGATTACAGGCACGATGCACCATGGCTGACAGTATCTACATATTAACAGGGAAAAAAATCTGCACATGTGGGGCATACCCAAACTGTAATAGGGATTAGAGGGTGGGGAATACTAGGATGATTAGGGACTCTGACATTTTATACCCTTCTGAATTGAATCTCTAAAAAACCTCCCAAAAACCCTATATGCTAATTTTATAATCAGGAAAAATATGTAAAGGTAGAAAAAGGCTAAGGAAACAACAACTGCTGTCTAAGCTCTGAGAGACTTGCTGGGCATGTGGAGCTGACAGGAGGCAGGCACACAGCCTCAGAGAGGAGGAGATGAATGTGATCCACGGGCTCAGGGCCTCAGAACACTGAGGACCCAGGACTGAGCCAAGTGTGCATGGGTCTCCACCCACATCCTTGGTTTTCTAGCCTATAACATTCACTAGCCTCCCCTCAGCTCTGCTGTGATCAACAACCGGGCTCTAGAAATCATGAAAGAGAATCCCTGCAATAAAAAATTGATTTTTTTTTTTTTTTTTTTTTTTTTTAGCAGCAGTCAGAAACCCAAGCCTTAGTATCTCAAGAATAGACTGAGGCCTTCCTCTGCCAGAGGTCTGAAAGTCCCAAGCACAAAAACATGCCACACCACCATGACATCCAGGTTAGTAAAATCTACATGTCCTTTCAAACAAAATAGTCTCCCAGAGAGGATGGTAAACACCCTTAGAAAAAACAAGAAAGGCTATTTTAATTCAACTGCACATGAAGCTGCTGAACACAGAAGTTTCCAGAAGGTTTTCCTGCGAGTCACTGGGACCATGAGTCCTGTCCTGAGGAACTCAGAGAGACCACCCCACCTCTGCCCTGCCTCCCCGCCCTGGGCCAGCAGGGGGTCACCTCCAAGGCCTCCATGGCCAGCTCAGGTGGATTGTGGTAGTGGATCTTCTTGGGGTACCGGGCAGCTTCCTCATGCAGATAGTGGCCAGCCTGTCTATAGTGCAGCAGGTAGACGGCTGGTGGCTGCTGCTGTTTCTCAGCCACCTTGCCCAGCATGTAATGGATAAGCCACTCCTCCTCATCACCATCACCCTCGCAGTGGGCCGCGGATGTAAAACAGTGCCTCGCTGTCTCCAGCATGCTGTCACGCCGGCCCTCCATCTGCAACAAGATCACCAGCCTTAGGCGCAAGGCCTGAAATTTTCCTGGGATAACACTTCCTCCTGTGGAAAGCCAGCTGACTCATTCACTAACTTTCTCTCACCAACCCTGAGGCCCAGAACTGTTGTCACCATGTCACAGCTGGTGACAGTGAGGTGTGGGACTCCTCAAAAGCACACACCAAGTAAGATACAGAGCTAGATTTAAACTCAGGTCACCTCCTGCCAACTCCAGGGACTCTTTCCCGTATATCACCCCCTATTTTATGTGCTTATGAAGATGCCTGCCTGCAACGGAGAAAGAACACAGAGCTGGGGCTGACCCTTTCTAGCTGTTTGCCTATCGCAGTTAGAGGGTGCTCACTGCCTGCAATGGGAGCTCATTCCAGAATGCCCACTTCAGCTGCCTGGCGTTGTCAGACTGTCGCAGGAGAGCTGCCGCTGGTCTGCAGCCACAGCCCTGTGCTCCTTCCAGGTCGCAGGCACAGGTCCTTACTGCAGCCACCTGAGTCAAGATTGGGAGCCTTAGGGAGGAGTCAATATGGTTGCTCATTTGTACCCACTCTCTGTCTCTGTTTCTCTCACTCTCTTCCTTCCACGTGTTTTATTAGCACATTTTGTTATACAGATTAATGGGTTTCATTAACGTATTTTGATCATTTTCATGCCCCCAACCCAATATATTATAAACTCACAACGGGAAGAGGATGCATCTTGCAGGCTCAGAGCAGCAGCTTCTGTGAGCCCACAGTCTTTGCTCTCACCCTTACCCTGGAAGCTCTGGAATGAAGGAACATGTGTGCCTGACAGCTGCCAGGGACCACAGAGAAGTGTCTGTCCAAATTAGAAAATCTCTGTGAAGCTGATCCTCTGTCCTGGCTGCTTCCAAACTTTGAGTGGGAGAGGCTGCCTGGAGGTACTTGCCATGAATGTGGACTTCAGGTCAATGGGGCTTGGACAGACCTCAAGAACCTGCCCTTTACAAGTGCTCTATGTCCTTGGAGAGGACGAGAAATTCTGTTTTACCATGAATGTGCATACTCTAGTGTGCACTATGCTTTAGAGCTATAGGGTTAGGTGCTGAGTAAATAGCTTCTCCAGTGGTGTGGAGCTGGATGCTGGGTACTAGGTACATACCCTCTCTAAGTGCTGTGAGGCTGGGTGCTGGACATAGCTGAGCTAGACATTCACACTGAACTCTCACAATACTGGTTGAAAAAAGGAATGTTTAGCTTTTGTTTGTGGCATACAGTAGTTCTAGAGGCAAACCTGTGTCCTACAGCCCATCCCAATCAGTTCAGATACAACTCTAGTAGCCAGAGGACTGGGTCCCCATGACACATTTCAGGGCTGGAAGCTGCCTCTCCACAGGCGGAAAGAACCTAGCAAGCACAAAGCAACCTTGTCAGGACAATGTGTATACTGGTAGATTACTACAAAACTTGAGGCAACCCCTTCAGTACCCTAATCTCCCAGGAGATCTTTCTGTATTACGGTGTTTTACTGCTGTGCTAGCCTAAATATTTCAGTATGGGGGCTAGGGATGTAGCTTAGTGGTACAGTGTATGCTTTCTACACTCAAGACCCTGGATGTGATCCCTAACACTACTAACACCTTCCAAAGTTTGTCAGTATAGTTCCTCTGTTTCCATCTCAAGGAGCCAAGGGTCCCCTGGTAAACACAGATATCATGCCAGTCTGAGTATCCCACTACAGATACCCCCTGCCACACAAGACACTGAAATTCTCATCACAAGATGAAGAATTTTACAAGGACCCAATACATTCCTTTGAGAGAACAGAGAAGAGACACCCAGTTCAGGCAGTGAATATTCCTAACCCCCACTCAGCTACTATAAAACTGATGACTGCCCCAACCAGGTCACAGTAGTCCAATCCTAAACTTGCCTGCCCTGCACTGAATGTAGACCAAGGGCCAATGTGTATCACTGACCATGGTACAGCTTGAGCCTCCTACGGAGAAGCATCCATGAGCTCCCAGCACTGATGCAACAAAAACAAAGAATGGATGTGGCAAAGTTTTATAGAGATGAGGGCACCCCAGCTGGACAGAGGATGATAGACGGGACCCCACTGTAGCACCCCTCCTCACCTGCTGCACAAGTTCAGGAGGCAGCTCGGCTTTCCACTGCTTCAGCTGACGCGAAGCAAAGGAGTGTAAGGCATAGGACATGGTGCCATATTCAATCCACAGGGACAGGTTAGAGCTGTCGATTTCCAAGGCTCTTCGGAAGCAGTTCAGGACAGGCGTGGCATGTTTCCATATGGGTCCATCACTCTTCAGCTCATTGGAATTCAGCTTGTCCTGAATGCGGCTAGCCCGGGCCAGAGCCATACCTGCCCAAGAATCAAACCTGGGGCAGTGACAAAAGAATGAGCTATCAATACCACTGCCCTAACAGCACAGCAGACACAAAAGTCTGGCAGGCAGGCAGTCAAACACTATGGAAGCTCCACTCCTACACCAGGGCTCAGAACCTGCTCAGCCACTAGATCAGGCCATGACTCTGATCTGGACCAGCCACACCTCTGAGTCATGATTCCCTACACCACGATATATCTCTAAGAATATCTATTCCAAGAGAGAAGCATGGGATACTGTTACGGTTTAGATCTAGAACGTCCGCCAGAAAGGTCCATTTGCTCAGAGGTTGGGATTTATTTTTTTTAATGTATTTAGTACAGGGTCTACAGGGTCTCACTACTAGATCAGACTCGTAGTGATCCTCCTGTTTGCAGCCTCCCAAGTGCTGGGATTACAGGCGCACCTCCCCCTGCCCAGTCTCAATCACCGTCTCAGCAAGCCCCAGGGGCAGGCCCAGCATGGCATGCTGGGGATCAAACCTCAGTCCCTGCACTTTGCCTAAGCAGGCACTTTAGTCTGCTGAGATATCTGGCCAGCCTCAAAGGCTGAGATTTTAGAAGGTGCGTGGATCTTGATTGTGCTACACTCATCAGTGCATTAATGCACAAAAAATTCAGGGCAGGATGTACTGTGAGGAGGCAGGGTCCAGTTGGAAGAAGCGGGCATCTGGGGCATGCTCTGGACGGGTGCATCAGCCTCCCTGGGTGCTCCACTCCCTCTCTGCTTCCAGGCCACCGTGGTATGAGCAGCGTTCCTTGGCAAGACCCTTGTGCCATGCCCTTCCGGCCTCGCAGCCAGATGATGACAGACTGAATCCTCTAAAAACCGTGGGCCACAATGAACTTCTGCTTGAAGCTGCGGGTGTCAGGTATCATGTCCAGTGACAGAAAGTGACTAACAAAGGTGCTAAGAGACGAAACTTTCCTCAGCACCTCACAACCACTCAATGGCTGCTCTAACAGAAGGGTTCTTTGCTCCTTACACTGAGAAGCTACCCACAAAATGGACACAGTGGAAAGGAAGAGGACACTCTGCCAGAAATCACAGCAGGGAGCCAGTCAGGTGAGTAGGAGACACAGCAGGTGGCTGGCTCCATCCTCCTGCAAATGCTATGGTTATACTCACTGAGCAAGAGCTCAGACAGTGGAAAGCCCCAGGGCCCCAGGCACCCAGCTTCTCCCTCTGGGACTCTGAGCAGACTCTGACCATTCCAGTTCTGTGCCCAGCAGTAAAACAAAGAGCAAGGGGGCCACACGATGGCTGAGCCCCTACCAGTAGTCCTTCCCGCACATCACCTGAAAGAACTGAGAATGAGGATGCAGAAATCGTGAGGGTAAATGGCAATAGATACATTAAGACCAAGATGGTTTCTGGGTTCTGGTTTCTGCCTGTTATAGCATACAGAGAAGAGGAAAAGCAGCGATAAAAAGGACAGATGCTGCCCTTCTATGTGCCAACAGTTCTTAATTCATCACAGCTACAGTTATATTCCATGACTATAAAGCTGGCTAAGTGGCTTCCCGAACTACTTGAGTGTCTAATATGTGGTAAGGGCAAAGAAACCCTGTGAAGCTCAGATGTGCTTTCACTGGGCCCCAGAACCCAGGATTAACACTGTGTGAACAAAGAGGCAGGAAAGACACTGAAGATGCAGAAGTAGGAAGAGGACAGCAAACACAAAGGCTTCACTTTTTATGTAAGAGGCTCTAAGTGTAGTCCTTCCTGCTCAGGGATCTGGAGACCTGAGGCCGCTGCATCTTCCTTGTCTATTCAGGTTCGCCTACAAGAAGGGGTGCAGGAGTAGGCAGAAACTCCCCTTCACCAGGGCCACTTTGACAGCATGGTATTCCTTTCCACTTCTATTACTTTTCAGCAACTCTGTTTGCCCTCACCTTGGGGGAAACAGCAACATCATGACAGCGTCCACATAGCTGCATGAGAACCAAACTGGAAACTACCATCTCCTGTCACAAAAACCAAGTAACCAAAGCAGAAGCTCATCACTATGACCAGTGAAAATGCTTATTATCCTACCGATATTCATCTACTGGTACTAGCAGAGTAGCACAGAGCCCACATCCCAGGAGTGCTGACCTACAGGGACGTTGAGGGTCTGAGGGCGGGAAACGATGACAGTTCCGGAGAAGGAAGTATCCAGACCCCATGCACCAAGCTCTAGTTTGTGCAGGACAAGCCTGGTCTTAGAACTGGGCTCAGAGTTGTTTCTTTGGCAGTGGAGATGAGCTGTCCTAGGCCCTGCTCTCCTTCTGCCCATCCCCAAATGTTCCGTGAAAGCCTCGCCCTTGTAGCTCAGCAAAAGCAGAAGGAATGGTCAATGTAGGGAAAGGAAAACACTGTCACCAGCCTCCCAGACTTACTTCCCCACAGGGACCTCCAATACCACAATCAGGATACCACTGTTCACCCACATGTTCATCTGGGGCTTTACCCTTAGGCCTAGGCTTAGAAGACTTCCAAGGGAAAAAAAAAAAAAAAAAAAAAGTACCCAATCTTCCATTTGAGTTTGCTCACAAGACCAGAAAGAGCTCCAAAGTCTCCACTGGCATCTGCCTGGGAGAACAGAATGAAGGAAAGATGCAAAACGAAGGCCCTGGGGCTGGGCAGGTACAGCATGCCTATATTCCCAGTGCTCTGGGAGTATGCAGCAAGAGGATCACAAGTTCAAGTCCACCTGGATAACTTATCAACTTAGCAAAACCCTATCCCCAAATTAAAAATTAAAAGAGGTCTAGGGACAGTGCTCAGTGCAAAGGCCCTGGGTTCAGTCTCTACCCCAGCACTACAAAGAAGAGAAAGGGAGGCTAAGGGTTGGGCCTGAGACCAAACAAGTCCTTTTCTGGCCTTACAGCCAGTCCCTTCTGCAGCAGGGCTATGTAGCGGCCTATGCCTGATGGCTTGCATCCCTCGGAACAGGTGGCATGCAGGTGGTAAGAAGAGCTAGTTCAGCTTTTATGGTCATCACTCCACCGACTGAGGAGTGTTATATGCAGAGGAGCTATGACAGGCGCCCACCACCCCACAGAAGGGGGGTTTTATCACCCTCACTTTAACGCTGCGGAAGCCACAGTGAAGAATAGGTGACCACCAAGGATGTCAAACAAAGCCAACTCAGCCAGCCTGAGTGTGGGTCTGCACCACCACACCAGTACACAGCAATCTCAGAGAGGATAGCAGAGTTCCGAGCCAAGGGCTCCCTGTCTGGAGGAAGCCACAGGCTGAGCAGAAGGGGACCTGTGATCTTCCCCACAAGCTATGCAAGTCTTTCAAGTGATATCCCCAGCCTTGGATATTGCCTCTTAATAAAGTGCATCAGACTGCTTGAGTGAAGCAGGGTCTTCAAGTCTGACACGGAGGGCAGTCACTACACCTAAGAGAAGGGCAGGAACAGCTCCAGGGGAAGAGAACACAATCAAACACAGGTGGGTGACCAAAATATACAGTGAGTACTTCATTATTTTTTACTTATAGCAAAACACATGCTGCCATTAGTTTCTCTCAAAATATTCCCTTTCACTTTAAACACAATATTGCTCCTGTTGCTTTCTTAGGCAGTCTCTTTGGTGTCTTTATGAGGCAAAATTTTAAAAAAATGAAAAAAAAAATGGTGAATGCTGCTGCCAAGTGCCAGCCAATGGAAAGCAGGGTCTTAAAAACATTACAGTATGTCCTTATCTACTTCATTCACCAGATGTTTCTCTCTCTTTTTAATTATTATTATTATTATTTTTTTTTAATAAGCTCTCATTACACAGCTCAGACTTGTAGTGATCCTCCTGTTTTCAGCCACCCCAATGCTGGGATTACAGGCGTGCGCCACCATGCCCAGACTCGGTCACTGGCTCAGGGAGCCTGGGGCGGGGCCAGCGCAGCAGGCGGTACCAGGAATCAAACCCCAGTCCCTATGCTTGCCTAAGCAGGCTTAGTCACTGAGCGATCTCACCAGCCCCCTTCACTGGATCTGGCCTGACCATGAATACAACCATTAAAGATAAAAGTTTTAAGTCGATAAAGGACATTGAGACAGCCATAATTGCACAACTAAAAAAACACTCAGGAAAGGAGACTTCCAGAATTGCTTCAGAAACTGGCAAGAACAATGAGAACAGTGTGTGCAAAGCCAATGGGAGAATTTTGAGGAAAATTAACAACAATGTGCCTTTTCTTGTCGTTCTGTCTGTCTGTCTTTCTTTCTTTTACCGTCTTTTCTTTCCTTCCGGGGGCCTGCCCCTTAGCTCAGTTCTTTAAGTGGCTGCTTCAACAAAGCAGTCAGGCTCGGGTTGCTGTGGTTCAATCCCCACAACTCAAGCCAGCCAATCATGCCCTGAATGCATTGGAGCAAAAAAAAAAAAAAAAAAAAAAAACCCCTTCTTTCCTTCCTTCCTTCCCTCTCTTTTCTGTGTGTAATCAGGAACTCAACTCTGGACCTTGTGTACCAGGCAGGCGCTGTGCCACTGAGCTATTTATCCCTGGCCCCACAACATGCCTTTTACTGTAATAATTTTTAAACATTCACTGTATTTTTTTTAATCACACCTCAGACAATCATGACAACCACAGCTGCCCAATGATGCACTAGGTTACAGAAAAACTTTTGGATTGAGTTATTTTATACCCATCCACTCCTCAAAAACAAATATAAGTCTGCAGTGAAAGGATCAACAGAGTAACTCAGCCAACTTTCTGGGGCCTGGAACAGCACAAACCAACAGGATCAGGCCAGGCAGCACTTCCTTCCCCAGACAGCAGGGCCCTTTTCCAACCCTGATGCCATCCCCGGGGTCTTCAGGATCAAAGCTGCCTCCTTTACTCTTCCTTTTTACAGAGAATCTAGCTTTTTAGTAACCGCAGAATGCTAAGCCATTTTTCCATTTCTTTTCCTTAATTTTGCTATCAGCAGTGAAACTCCAAATTGGCCCAGTGAAGAGCTGGTTATGTTAGCATTACTCCAGCTCTGCTGACAGCTAGCCTGGCCCCTCCCACCTTACCCACCTGTTGGGACAGATGCAGATGTCATGCATGTAGAACTTGATGGCCTTGGACTGCTCCTTGTTTTTGAAATGATAATCAGCCAGGAGGTAGTAGAGTTCATTCACCACAGGAGGGGAAGGGTCGGCCCCTTCTGGGAGGCAGGGCACCTGACAAGTGACAGGGTAACTATGAGAAGAAGTGGAGACAGAAACTCAGGTGTGACTCCGGAGACCTGTAAACGCAGGCCTATTTGGTCACATCAACACATGGCATGTGTTAGGCTGCTCCTGGCCCTAGCACATAACGCAGAAAAGCAATAAAGCCAGGACATATATGTACCCATGTTGGTGGGAAGGGATGTTACTCAGCTCTCACACCCACCTCTGAGTCCACTGGGGCTCACCTCAGTTGAGGTCCCCTCAATGTAGGCAGAGACTTTGTCCAGGCTCAGTCCTGGCCTGTCTGAGCGGGGTACAATGGTGGCAATTCTCTTCAGAAGGTTGGCCAAATCAGCAGACACGGTGCTGGTCTTGTAGCTGTCAAATTCAGGAAGGGTCTTTGGCTTGAAATACTCAAACATAAACAGGGCATCTTCCCATATAAGCTCCACCTTGAAAAAAGAACACAGATTCATAGCACCTTCAGATAAAGACAAAAAAAGTTCCTCTACAGAAATCCACTGTATCTGATGTAAATAGGTCACCATTTACAGTACTAGTCTAAAATGAGTCCTTATTACATCTCTTATTATCAGCATGCCCAACATCATTCTCAAGTGCCTGAAAAGTATAAACCTAGTCTTTATAAAGATGAATGGTGGGGCTGGGGAGATGGCTCAGTAGAATAAACACTTGACTGGCAAGTGCAAGGACCTGAGTTCAATCCCTGGTTCTGGAAAAAAAAAATTAAAAAATAAAAAGATAAATGGTGGAATCTGAGACCACATAGCTGAGCTAAAGACTGGGTTCAGTGAGGTGTGGGTGGCATATGCCTGTAATCGCAACACTTGAGAGGCTGAGGCAGAGGATCACTTTGAATTTCAAATGCAGCCTAGGCTACACAGTGAGTTAAGGCCACCCTTAACTATACAGCAAGAATTATCTCAAAAAATAAAATAGAGTAAGATAAATAAGGTGTGTTGAATTATCAGCCAGAACCTGGGGCCATGACACGATACTTTATTTGGAAGACCCAAAAAACTCCACTAAGAAACTACTAGAATTGATAGACAAATTCAATAGCATAGCAGGATACAAAGGCAATACCCAAAAGTCAATAGCATTCTCTACACAGATAACAAACACACTGAGAGGGAAATTGAGGAAATAATACCTTTTACAATAGCCTCATAAAAAATGAAATACCTTGGAATTCATCTAACTAAAGAAATCAAAGATCTTTGCACGGAAAATCACAATATTCTGGAAAAAGAGATCATAGAGGATTTTAGAAATGGAAAGATATTCCATGCTCCTGGACAGGAAGAACCAACATCGTGAAGATGGCCATACTCCCAAAATTGTTGTATAAATTTCATGCAATCCCTATGAGACTACCACCAACATACCTCTCAGACCTAGAGAAATTGTTCCTAAAATTTATTTGGAACCAAAAAAGACCTAGAATAGCAAAGGCAATCCTGGGCAACAAAGACAAAGCAGGAGGCATTACAATTCCTGACTTCAAATTATACTACAAAGCTACTGTAATAAAATCAGCATGGTTCTGGCAACAAAATAGACCTAAAGATCAATGGAATAGACTAGTAGATGCAGAGGCCTCTAGGAACACACTCAGCCACCTGATCTTCGACAAAGGGGCCAAACACTTACTAGAAGAAAGATAGCCTCTTTAACAAATGGTGCTGGAAAAATTGGCTCTCTACATGCCGAAAACTAAAACTTGACCCAGGTCTATCAGCATGCACTAAACTAAAGTCAAAATGGATTAAAGAACTGAATATTAAAACAGAAACACTAAATCTCCTAGAAGAGAAAGTAGGAGGATCTCTTGAAGACATAGGGGTAGGCAAAGAGTTCATGGACAGAAACCAAATTGCACGGGTAATAGTTGAAAGAATTAACAACTGGGACCACCTCTTACTGAGAAGTTTTTGCACGTCAAAAGAAATTATCAACAAAGTGAAAAGACAACCCACAATTTTCAAAAAAATCTGAACTAAGAAGCACTCAGACAAAGGTCTGCTCTCTGGAATATATAAAGAACTAAAGAACATTAGGGCCCCTAAATTTAAAGACCCAGTCCAGAAATGGGCATCCGAGATGAACACACACTTCTCAGAGGATGAAATTAAAGAAGCAAATAAATATTTGAAAAGATGTTCCTCATCACTAGCCATCCGTGAAATGCAAATTAAAACAACACTGAGATACCATCTCACCCCAGAAAGAACGACTATCATAAAGAAATCAACCAACAACAAATGTTGGAGAGGCTGTGGGGAGAGGGGAACCCTTCTCCACTGTTGGGAGTGTAGACTGGTGCAACTGTTATGGAAATCAGTGTGGAGACTCCTTAGAAAACTAGGACTGCAAATCCCATTTAAACCAGCTATCCCCCTACTGGGAATTTTCCCGGAGGAACTGAAAGCGTCATATTATAGTGATATATGCGTACCTATGTTTATAGCAGCACAATTTATGATAGCTAGATCTTGGAAACCACCAAGATGCCCGTCACATGTGGAATGGTTGAAAAAGATGTGGTACTTTTATATAATGGAGTACTACTCAGCTATAAAGAATGATAAACTTGAAGCCTTCATATTTAAGTGGATGCCCCTTGAAGATATACTTATTAGTGAAATAAACCAGACCCACGGGCTGGAGAGATGGCTCAGTGGTCTAAAGCACCTACTTAAAACAAGCTTAGCAAAGCATCAGGGACCGCGGTTCAATCCCCCAGCACCACATGCCAGCCAGCCCCGCCCCCTGGTGGGCTGAGCTGGCCACACACACACACACCTCTCTCTCTCTCTCTCTCTCTCTCTCATAAATAAAAATTAAAAAAAAAAAAAAATTAAAAAAAAAAATAAACCAGACCCACATCTGTAAATATCTATTGTCTCCCTAGTATAAGGACTTATAATTCTGTATATATGGTTAGGTTTCTAAATTTCTTTGTAAAATTATGTAAATGTTTATTTCTACTTTTATAAAATTATCTTTCCTTCATATTCTGTAAGGACTTAAAGTTCAACATATCAATATTTGATGAAAAAAAAGAAGAAGAAAAACCTGGGGCCAGCCACTAACCCTCTCAATTTTTTTTTTTTTTTTTTTTTGATACAGGGTCCTGCTATGTAGTTTGGACTCAGTGATTCTCCTTGTCTCAGCCTCCCCAGCACTGGGATTACAGGTGTGCACGACCACACCCAGTTTTGGGTCTGGCACAGCGTGTGTGGATTTCCAGGGCCAGCACAGCATGTGGTACTCGGTATCGAACTCATGACTCTGTGCTTGCCAGGCAGGCGCTTACATCACCGAGCTATCTCCCCAGAACTGTCCCTCCATTTTTGACTGACAAAAACTGTGTTATTATTTTAGGCCAAGGCAAAGGCTAGATCCCTAAGATCAGAGAATAACTGATAGTGCTAAGGAGCTATGAGCTAATACACCCACTAATGCTCCAAAAATCAAACAACCAAAAAACAAGAAACCTAAGAAATTACTCATATCCAAATTGAAGGGCGAGGGACAAGTGCCTGCATGGCAAGCACAAGGACCCAGGACTGATCCCTGGTTCTGCATGCCATGCCAGCCCCACACCACCAAAGCTAACCACCAAAACCAGGCGTGGTGACGCACACCTACAATCCCAGCACTGGGGAGTTAGAGACAGGAGGATCACTATGAGTCCGAGCTGCTTAGAGAGATCCTGTACCAAATATATAAATTTTAAAAATAGAAAATAAACCTACGGGCAATTCTTGTGCCACATTTTTGATAATTTATGAAGCTATCTTTTTGCAAGGAAAAAGATTTTCATCCTTTGATCAGACATCTGCCCATCTCTGTGGCCTGCTCCACCACACCTTGCATTGGGAAAGTGGATAGAGTACGACAAGCCTGATGCACTTCAAAAAGTCGCCTACCTTCCCAGAGCTCTGCTACTCCTTAGCCTTGCTCTGCCCCAGGCCAGTGGCACCACCCTCACCTGCTGGACTGAGTGCTCCTCCAGGTATCTGGCCTTGCTCTTCTTGCTGGGAAAGCTGTACAGGCAGTAAAAGCACTGCTCCAAGGCCGTCTCCAGCTCCTCCTTGTAGGGGTGTGTGTCTTCAGAGGTGGATGCAGTCAGTTCTTTCTGGAGAACTCGCACCTATGGTAGGCAGAAAGAGACACTAAAGGTTGGGACCAGGAGCCACAGCTCTGTCATAGCAGGACCGCAGCAAGACCACAACTCTATCATCTCTTCTACCCTGAGGAGACGAAGTTTACTAGGCCCCTGCCCCACTTGATTCTAGAAGATCTGTTTCCTAGAAAAGACTTCTTACTCTGATATAATCAGACTATCTATCAAACGGACACAGGACAAAGAAACTGCTGGGCCCTTAATCTGTTACTTGTTTAAAGCATAATTTTTCTTTTGAAGCAGTTAAGGACTGGTGGGTTTTCTAAAAAAAAAAAAAAAAAAAAAAAGACTTCACTTGGGCCTATAGGTGGTCAATAGATAACTAAAAAGAACAAAACATTAAAAAAAAATAAATAAAAAGAAGAAAGCTTAACTTTTGTTTTGTCTTTTATTAACTTAAAACTTCGGGTCAGATCCTTGCTCAGCTCTGTACATCAGCAGGATAGTCACTGAAGAAGTATTGGCCTGGGAGATAGTGCAAGGTCCTAAGTTTGATCCCTGAAAAAAAAAAAAAAAAAAAAAATTCAAAAAAATAAAAGCTATCTGGGGCTGGGGAAATAGCTCAGTGGAATAAGCACCTGCCTGGCAAGTGCAGGGTCCTGAATTCACTTCCTGGTACCGAAAAAAAAAAAAAAAAAAAAAACTGTCTAAAATCTAGCAGCAGAAGGTTAATTAGTATTGAACTGATATAACTCATCCCACCTCAAGACCTGGACACCAAGGTAATAGATATATGAGGACTTTCAACTAACCCTAACATGCCCAGAAGTCTCCAGTCATTGCTCTGAACATACACCACCTTGGATTCCAGCACAGCTTCCACAAAATTGAGACTATCCCAGGCAGAAATACTCATTGCATAGCGACTAAAAGTCCCCCTCAAGTGACAGGTCATCTCCCACAGTCATCTTGCAAGCCAGAACTAAGGTAATGATCAATCAGACACTAGTCCATCTCAGAAAAACCATAAAGCCTGGTCTTATTCTCTTGTTAATGGCCCAGGCTGATCCTCTTCATCAGAGCTGTAGCCCTTTCAGCTGAAGCTGAAGAGTTCTATTGTTTCTTATTTTCCACCTCACACTGACACATCCTGAACTGCTTTTCTGTGACATGAGTCAGTGAACCTACTCTTCAGGGTGAGCTGAGGTCTCTATTTCTTCTTTGGGGGACTTCCTTGGACTCCATCCCTGAATGACCTAGCTGAATTTCTCCTTTGCCCTAAAGTTGTTAATGTTTGGGGGAAAGTATATCTGCAAGCCAGAAGTTCTTCCTCAGGTGGGCTACCTGAGGTCTAAGATGGCTGTCCGAGTGAGCACCAGACAATCTCCACCTTCATTTTAATTCTGTCTGCATGCTTCATGACGTACTCCCCAATACCACAATGGCTGACAACTGCTACCACGTCCACAAAAAAGAACCATAAAAGGAGCAGAAAGTAGTGGTTTCCAAATTCCTGGAAAAGTCATGACTATTCCTCCCCTTTATTAGCCCATTCCTCCTCTCTCATTTCTTTTATCCTGTATCTATAACTTAACCCTAACCCTAATGAGTTGAGAAGTTGATTTGAAGTTTTATCCCTTCTACATGGTGAAGAATAAAAGTCTCAAAAATAAAGAATAAAACTCTCCTTCACAACTCAATTGGGACTCAATTAGTAATACTGATTCTACAATTCTGAGAGGGAAAAATGACCCAGTCATTTATAATCATTTACTCTGGAGTGCCAGCTGCTCTGGGCTGGCTCTGGCAGCAGCCCCCCCTCCCTCAATGGGCTTGCTGAGCTGACTTCTTCCCAGTACACTAGCCAGTTTCCACCAACTCCCAGAAGATAGTGCTGTACACCCCAGTAACTTCACTCATTCACTTAGCCCTCCATTTGCTAAATGAGTATTTACTGAGCACCTTCTTTCACTAGGCACAGCATTACACGGTCTTTGATCTCTAGGAAGCTCGGATTCCAATGCAAGAGTGGAGTGTAAATAATTATATATTATAAGCTGACAGATCCTATTAGGGCTGAAGGAATCTCCCTCAGACAAAACATTAGTATTAGAAAGGGTATGTCACTGCAAGAGTAGCAAGATCTTTTACCTTGCTTTTCAGAACCAGGGATTGAACTCAGGCTCTTGTGCTTGCCAGGGAAGTGCTTGTTCTACTGAGCTATCTCCCCAGCCCTTCAGAAAGGGTATGAACTGCACTAAGACAAGTTATACGTATGTAAGGTAGGAGATGAGGGCTAAGGCAAAACAGACAATTAACCAGTCAGAATGTGTCAGAAGTCACAGAAACCCACCACTAACCAGTTAAGCAAGAAGTTTCCTAAAAACAGAAAACAGGCACAGAACACTACACTTAAAATGACTCCAGACTTAGAGCTCCTGAGCACTGTACATGGGACCAATCAGAAAGTGATTGTTTCTCAACTCATTTCAATTTGGCGCTATTCACTGGGCTGATGAGAAGGCACTATTCTCCATTATTCATTTACATATGGGCATAACCAATAGAAAGACATTGTTCCTTATCCCTCACTTATATCTGGAGAGAAGACAAGTGAGTTTTCCCATAGGACAATTTATATCAGGCATGACGTCAAGTGAGTTTTTTACAGGACAACTGTCCTAATGCCATAATCACATGAGATGAGGGCCAATCCAGGTATTCTGCACAATAACAGCCCCATTCCCATATCCATAGCAGTTCCTTAAGCCCTGTAGAGTATACTTTTTCTGCCTTCAATAAATCTACACCCCGGATGCCTTTTTTGTGTGTCTTGTCCAATTCTTTGTTCGGGACACCAAGAGCCTGGAAAGGACCCCTGGGAAGAATATGCATTCCTTTTTCCAGCTATTAGTAAATACACATTCTTTGCTGGCACATGTAGGATTTTTGCCAAAACCAACTGAAAAGCAAGTCTTGCAAATACCTAAGCCTAGATATAATACAAGACCACATCCCCTAAAAAATGGTTCAATAAAAGCAGCAATCAATTACGTAAAATAATAAAGATTAAAATTTCTGGGATACAGCTAAAAATATACAGTATTCTAAAAAAATTACAATCTTCAATACATACATTAGAAGTCAATACTGAGGGGCTGGGGAGATAGCTCAGTAGAATAAGTGTTTGCCTGGCAAGCACAAGGGCCCGAATTCAATCCCGGTTCCACCAAAAAAAAATAAAGAAGTCAATACTGAAATGAGCACTCTACCTAGTAAGTTAGAAACAATATATACTTAATTCAAAGAAAGTAAAAAGATAATAGATGTTAGAGATGCAATTAATAGCTAGTAAAGAAAAAATAGATCTATAAACAAATAGCTCAGGCTAGGGATGTAGCTCAGTGATACAAGTGCCTGCCTGGAAAGCAAGCGTAAGGTCCTGAGTTTGATCCCCAGTACCACAAAGAAAGAAGGAAAGAAAGAAAGAAAGAAAGAAAGAAAGAAAGAAAGAAAGAAAGAAAGAAAGAAAGAAAATAGACAGACAAGTAGCTTATACTTTGGGGGGGGGGAAGTTAACTTAAACATGCCTTAGGAAAAGACTAGTTTTCAGAAAGAGGAGGGAAAGTACAAATAATTTTAGCAATGAAAAAAGGGAGTATGAATACTGGTACTGCAGAGAGGGTTCACTGCTAGATGGAGACTGAGGAGTTCATCCAAGAGATGGGGACTGCTGCTTGGCCTCAATTTTAAATAACAAGGAAAGAAACACCATGAAGAGCTTTATGCTAACAAGTGAATACTCTTCCAAATATATAACTGATTGGATAAAAGAAAAGCCTAAATGGATCTCAATCACTAAAAAACAATAGTTTAAAAATCTACTGAGATCCATGCCCCAGATAAGGGGCTGGCAAACTACCAAACTCTGTCACCATCTGTTTCTTTTGTGAGTTAAGAGTGGTGTTTGCATTTTAAAATAATGTAATAATCAAAAGAAGAAGAAAACTATTTTATAACATAAAAATTCTATGAAATTTGGCTTGGCGTGGTAGCACACAGCTGTATCCAAGCACTCAGGAGGCTGAAATAGGAGGATCACTATGAGTATGAGGTCAGCCGGGGCTACAAAGTGAGCTCAAGCCCAAAATAAAAATAAATAA